CAACACACACACACACAACACTCTCTCTCACACACACAACACACACACACACAACACTCTCTCTCACACACACAACACTCTCTCTCACACACACAACACACACACACACAACACTCTCTCTCACACACACAACACTCTCTCTCACACACAACACTCTCTCTCACACACACAACACACACACACACAACACTCTCTCTCACACACACAACACACAACACACACACACACATGTAGTCCGATTGGATTTGGCAATTGTTAATTCAATCAGCTGTGCATAACACATAGAAAATCTTTACTCCCTTGGATTTGAGGGAGAAAAGATAGGGCCCAAGCCAGGGAATGAAGTGGAAGAGTTAAGGTTTTGTTTGTGGCAAGGAGGCATTAAAAGTAGTGGTGAGGATACAATTGATAGAAAGATCATTGAAGTTGGATAATGACAAATACAGGGCCAAAGATTAGATTGTCCTGAGTTTGAAAGCATTGCTGTATGTCAGTAGAGGACTGAGGGAAGAGATTTTTCTAGGCGCAGATTCCAATGTCAGTGGAGCTGGAAGACGGTAGGAGATTACGAGTGGGGTGAGTGATAAAAAAAATTGATCACAAATGATTTGTTCAGCGATCGCAGTCTTAGAAAGAGGGGCCACATGACATTGCAAGATCGATGAAGTGAAAAGTTGATAGAAGTCAAAGCAGGACTGCTGTAAAGATCATTCAAACAAAATATTTTGTCAAGTAAACTAGATAAGTACAGTGTGCTCATTTAAAAATACAAATCCTTTGGCATATTAGAAACAGAATTAGAATCCCTCCAGTGTGGAAGCAGGCCATTCAGCCCACTGAGTTTGTACTGATCCTCCAAACAGCATACCACCCACACTCACTCCCCTTTCCCTATCCCTGTAACCCTGCATTTCTCATGGCTCATCCACCTAGCCTGCACATCCCTGGACATTATGGGGCAATTTAGCATGGCCAAACTACTTAACCTGTACATCTTTGGACTTTGGAATGAAACTGGAGCTCCCAGAGGAAACCCATGCAGAAATGGGGAGAATGTGCAAACTCCACACACACAGTTGCCCCAATCTGGAATTGAACCAGAGTGTCTGATGTTGTGAGGCAGCAATGCTAATCATGTGCCACTTAAAAGGTTATTAAAGGATGAGTGATCTGTAAAAGGAAACTATGTTCAGAACTGAATATGCGTCAAAAGTTAGATTACAGCACAACAGATTTATGTTAGATACATTTGTAAAAAAATTCAGTTGCAATACACAAAGGACATGAAATAATTTACATTATTGCAACAAGATGCAAGAAACCCACTTACTCAATTTCATTTAATATCAAACTGAATATAGAAACAAAATAAAATCATAAAAAGAGGATATTAAATAGCAGTATTTCATTAGCAGATTAACCTTCTCAATTAAGGATACACTTGTGCCAGTTCAATATATTTGGCACAATGAATAACTTTGAAAAGTCCTGTTGATTAATATTTCAATATTTCAATTTCACTTACCTATAGTTTTCTGTCGTACTATATTTCTTGCCTTTTCTGTTCCAGGAGAACCAGCAGTGGTAGCACTTCGTTGTCTCATTTGTACATGCCCAGGCTGATCACGACTCCAACCACGGGAAAATGATTTATCAACTGCTGACTTTTGACACCCGTGACTGCCACCTGAATTCCAACAGCAAGCAGTTACATTTAAGTACTATGTTTTAATTCCTGTATGTCAACATGCAGTGCTTAAGTAATTCAATAACTAACTCAATTAACTTTTTTTAATTTTATGTCTAAACTATAGACTTAAAATTTTGTCTCATCCTGCTGCCAATAAAGCAAACAGAACATTGTTGCACTTCAGTAACATTTACGAAAAGTCAGTTAAGTTAATTTGTTTTCCTTTTGGCAACTAGCACGTCATTTGATTCAGAAAACTTGTCAGCACATTATAATAATTGAGCCTACCCTGGTTTAAGGTAAACAAGATAAACTACAGAAATCAAGAGCATTGCAGACAAGGGTGCTGCTTATAGTTTCTATACAACTCCAAGGATCTAAGTAGTTGTATCAGCTAATTTTGCACAGAAACCACTAAATTGCAAACACCAGAACTACCTTTAGATTAGGTGCCATTTCGATCCCTTTTGGGTTTGAAGATTAGGATTAATTTCAACATCGTGCAGATGCGTCTGGCTGATATTTTTGTGTAATACAATTTCAGTGCTCCATTGTCTGAGTGTTCTCCTTCATAAATTGTCTGTGAGATTGTTATTGAGACAAAGTCTTTCTTATGTCCTAGATAACATTCATTCCAAAGCATGGATCAGCAAAGCAGGTCAGCTGGTCACTGATCTCATTATATTTGTAGGATCTTTGTCATATGCAAATTGGCTATAGCATTTTCTGACAAGACAATGATCACTGAACCTCAACAAGTGGTTCATTCATTGAGAAGAATGTTGGATCGTCTGAAGAGATTGGAAGCATTTAAAAAGTGCAAGCCTTTTTACCTTAGCCTAGGTACCAAAAAATGGAGGCCACTGGTCCAAGAAGCCAAAATACCATATGAAAATTTTTCATCTTATGGGATTGGAAGGAAGCATTTTGATGCAGTGTCAGAGAACCCCTATGGGTCATTAAACACAGGATTGGAGAAAACTGTACATTGAAAATCTTTCCAAATTGTAACTCTGATCCAGTAAAGTCTCCTTATTCAGTTCCTTACTAATTTCCTTCTACCCCTTTATGAAGTCCCATACAGGATGCCAAGAGTTGATGTGTAATCTCCAAGTGGATTGCACATCATTTTAGAGAAGCCTCTATTAACAAATGCATATTTGAAGCAGTCAAAGTGCCCTGTCATTCTAGACAGCTTGCTGTAAATGGCTGACCAGCGGGTATGATCTGTCTCTAGATTGCAATGAAATGTTGGAAAGTGTCAACGGCAGTCCTGATGATGGCATTCATGATCACAAAGCATGTAAGCTTGGAATAAACAGATTGCAATGAAATGTTGGAAAGTGTCAACGGCAGTCCTGATGATGGCATTCATGATCACAAAGCATGTAAGCTTGGAATAAACATATTGAAATAAATCTGCAGAGGATGGTATCCCATCTCCAAGCCACTCTTTATTTACACTGTACTTGACACTGGTCAGGCTTCCTCACAGGCAGCTCTTAGAAGTCAACAGTATCTCTGGCACTTCTGTTTATATCTGTCAGCCGGAGCTCCTTGATTGGACCAGATTAACAGCTCCAATCAGGGAACTCATATTCTATGAGGTTCACATTGCTGACTTTGTTACAATTACTACAGATTCGATCACCTCCGTAACCTCATCAGTGTAAATGACCAGTGATGTCCAATTGGGATTGGTCAGCAGAATTACAGAGACTGAAAATTCTCAGCAAGTTCCATCATTCTACAAGTGATATTTTATTTCTCAATTTTATCCTGAGCAACGCAAATCACAAGGTTTAATTCTTTTTTAATGGTTGTAATTGATATTCAGTTGAATGCTTTCCAAAAAAGACTTTTAAAATATCAAATATGTGATTGCAAATATACACTGCGTAAAATACAACTGAAGCCTTTTGCAAAATGAAGCATGGTTATACTATACAAATTATGGCTTTGGTTTTGTACAATAGAGATTAGTATGGAAGTACATGCAACCGGTTGACTTGCTACTTCACAATATGTGTAAAGACTGTATCTATTAAAGTTTCTGTATTTTTGACAATGAACTGAAATGTGAAAATGACTGTTTTAAAAAAGGGAAGGCACATTTTAAAATCAATCAGTACATACTGTAAGTGCTCATTACACTTTTTTTGTTGAAGAGGTGAGAGAAGTGTAGTTGTAAATTAATTGGCACGAGGGATTGTCTACAAAATCAGATTTGACCTGCAACAAGTAGGTGATTGGTCTGTAGAACAACCACCAGTTTGCCAATGGCAACGACTTTCTGCCATCAACAAGCATTAAGTGGCTCTGAGGTAGCTGAACAGCTTGTTGGTGTGAATGAGACAGCCAGAATAATTCAGACCTCCAGAAAGAGAGACGTTGTGAAGAGCATCTCTGCAATTAAACAATACACCTAAAGCCTGAAGAAAAGCAGTTTATTTTTCCTTACGAACTGTTGTAAGCAATTGCTTTTAATCAATAAGTTGGCAACGTTATCGTTCTTGGACTAGTGCAAGTGAGTGAAAGTATCTGGAGAAGAGTGATCAAGAAGCAACAAGTCCTGGCAATCCAAAAGGATCATCTCAGTGAACACTACGGACAGGGATAATTGAATATCTTCTCAGTTTTCCCTCCACCCATAACACCAATGTTTATGTGTTTGTCTGTGTGTGCGCGCGCATAGGGGGCAAGTTTGTAAGGGGATGGCAGTGTTTTAGCCAAAAGAGAATTATTTGTTGATATTTCATTGTTGTTTACCTGTAGCTAGAAATTATTTATTTGCAATAACAGTTAAGTATAGAAACCTGGTCATACTTTCCATTAACCTGGATCTAAAAGACTGATAAATGGAAAATTTGCATACTTTGGTAAAATCTTTAATTTTATGATGACTCTAAGAATAGTAGGGCTTGATTCATAGCATGCTGTCCCAATGACGCTTGACACATATATGCTAAGCAGATTGTCTCAGGAGAAATCAGTAATTAACACCCATTATATACTGACAATGCTAGAATATAGTATTATAACATTGGTCTGCATTGCAGACTGGGTAAGACGGTAGATTTGCTTCCCTAAAGGATTTTAGTGAATTAAAGTCTGCAGTCAAATTGTGATGGAATGCATAGTGTGCACAGTCTAAGTGAGAATACCATAGTCTGGGGAAGGCGCCAGAATCAGGCCCTGGAGAACACAGTGAGAAGTGGGTATTGAGCAAGAGCAACAGTGAGAATGTGACTAAGTGCAGTTGGTCAATCGGACCAATGGACAAGGCAAGAGAAAGAGCTGCAGTGAAAGAGACATTAGAAAAATTAGACAGTTTTTGTGCGAGCGAAATCATGTCTCACAACTTGGTTGAGTATTTTGAGGAAGTAACCAAGAAGATTGACGGGGGTGCAGAGCGGTGGACATTATTTACTTGGACTTTAGTAAAGCCTTTGACAAGGTTCCACTTGGTAGACTAATTAGTAAAGTTAGATCACATGGGATTCAGGGTGAGCTTGCAAATTGGATATAAAATTGGCTTAACGGCAGGAGACAGTGTGATGGAGGAGGGTTGTTTTTTGGACTGGAGGCCTTTGATCAGCAGTGATCCACAAGGGTCGGTGCTGAGCCCACTTTTGTTTGTTATTTATATAAATGATTTTGATGCAAATATAGAAAGCATGGCTAGTAAGTTTGCGGATGACACCAAGATTGGTGGCATAGCAGACAGTGAGAAGATAATCAAAGATTACAAAGAAATCTTGATCAGTTGAGTCAATGGGCTGAACAGCAAACGGAACAAAAACAGAAGTTGCTGGAAAAGCTCAGCAGGTCTGGCAGCATCTGTGAAGAACAAAAAAATCAGAGTTAACATTTTGGGTCTGGTGATCCTTCCTCAGAACTGTGGCAAATGGAGTTTAATTTGGATAAATTTAGGTATTGCATTTTGGTAAAACAAACAGAAGTGAGACTTATATAATTAAAAGCAGGGCTTTTGGCAGCATTGTAGAACAGAGAGACCGAGGGATTCAGGTACATAATGCTTTGAAGTTTGCATCATATATAAATAGAGTGGTTAAAAGGCATTTAACACGCTTGCCTTTATTGCTCAGACGATTGAGTATAGGAGTTGTGGCATAACGTTGTGGTTGTACAGGTTGTTGGTGAGGTCTCCTCTAAAGTACTGTGTCCAGTTTTGCTCTCGCTGTTATAGGAAGGACATTATTACAGGGTTCAGAACAGATTTACCAGGATGTTGTCAGGAATGGAGGGTTTGAGTTATAAGGAGCGGCTGGGCAGGCTGGGACTTTTTTCACTGGTGCGTAGAAAATTGAGAGGTGATCTTATAGAAGTTTATAAAATAATGAGGAGTGCAGATAAAGTGAATGGTAGGTGTCTTTTCCACAAGGTTGGGGGATTTCAAGATTGGGGACATAATTTTAATGTGAGAGGAGAATGATTTAAAAAGGACATAAGGGGCAACTTTCATACACAGAGTGGCTCATGTGTGGAATGAACTTCAAGAGCAAGTTGTAGATGCGGGTACAATTACAATGTTTAAAAGACATTTAGATCAGTACATGAACAAGAAATATTTGGAGGGATATGGGCCAAGTGCAGGTAGGTGGGACGAGTTTAGTTTGGGGTTATGGTCGGCATGGACAGTTAGGCCAAAGGATCAGTTTCCGTGCTGTATGACACAATGACTCCATGTAGAGGTCATGTGGCTGGTTGTATATACACACCAGCAAAGAGTACATTCCTGTTACCAAGTGACCCCAGCTGACAAGAAAACAAGTCTATGTGGTCAGATTTGCTTAAAGTGGTGGTACAGTTAGACAGTGAACAGGAAAGAGAGATCCAGGGGTGAAGCTAAAGTAATTGCTGTTTTAGTTACACAGAATTGGTCGAGAATAACCGGTCACGGACAGAATTGAGAAGGTTGTGGAGAACTGCACCATTTTATTGCAGAATTTGTGGTGGGAGCAGGTGCTCTGATC